CTTGTAGTTTCAAAAGTCTATCATATATCTAATCCATAGATTTATGATAAAAAAAATTATAAAAGTAGGGTAGACATGTGGATATTATCCGGCTAATCAAAACGTGCATTTATCTAACAGGTACGTTTCCCACAGATCTTATTTCGAGCTATTTTCTAAAATCCTCTGGAGAAATCTCATTGCTTTTTTGTGCTTACTTCCTGGTTCTAGGACGCGCCACTGCAGCTCTCTCGTCTCCTCTTCACACACCACACTTTTCGCGGCACACGTACTTACAGCCAATCAGCTCTGAATGATTTGAGATGACGTATGGTGGGGATGGTAGCTCCGTGCCCCTCTGGTCATTATTTTTTTGCCACACACATTACATTACAAAATACTCTGAGCATGCGCAGTGTAGTTTTTACAGTCACCGTTCACTTAGACAGCGAGAGGAAGGGGCATAATCAGGTTTTGTCCCACATGGCTCTAAACAGCTCAATAGGCACACACTGTGACTGTAGACACACTAATTAGAAGAACACAGACTAAAACAGCAATGTACAGACGAATCAGATGATTAAACATGATCTTAAAATATATTTTATATATTTTTTTTTTTTTTTTTTTTGCATTTTTGTAATCATTATTTGCAGTGGCGACTGGTCATTAGGGGCAGGTGGGGCACAGCCCCACCTAGTGTCAGCAGAAAGTATTACAAATAATGATTACAAAAATGCAAAAAAAAAAAAATATATATATATAAAATATATTTTAAGATCATGTTTAATCATCTGATTCGTCTGTACATTGCTGTTTTAGTCTGTGTTCTTCTAATTAGTGTGTCTACAGTCACAGTGTGTGCCTATTGAGCTGTTTAGAGCCATGTGGGACAAAACCTGATTATGCCCCTTCCTCTCGCTGTCTAAGTGAACGGTGACTGTAAAAACTACACTGCGCATGCTCAGAGTATTTTGTAATGTAATGTGTGTGGCAAAAAAATAATGACCAGAGGGGCACGGAGCTACCATCCCCACCATACGTCATCTCAAATCATTCAGAGCTGATTGGCTGTAAGTACGTGTGCCGCGAAAAGTGTGGTGTGTGAAGAGGAGACGAGAGAGCTGCAGTGGCGCGTCCTAAAACCAGGAAGTAAGCACAAAAAAGCAATGAGATTTCTCCAGAGGATTTTAGAAAATAGCTCGAAATAAGATCTGTGGGAAACGTACCTGTTAGATAAATGCACGTTTTGATTAGCCGGATAATATCCACATGTCTACCCTACTTTTATAATTTTTTTATCATAAATCTATGGATTAGATTTATGATAGACTTTTGAAACTACAAGAAGATAAGGAGGACTTTTACAAAAAAGTAATAGAAATGTTTGTCCAGAAGGATAGGCAAATGGACTTCATCTTCAAGTCAAGGTAAGACCGCCATTTTATTGAAAATGGGATCTTACTAAGAGAGAACAATTCAATGTTTAAATGATAAAATTACATTTTTTGGGTATCCTTTTGTTGAACTGTCTGTTTAAAATTAATCGAAGCATCAGACAAAAAAAGCTTTTGAAAATAATATTATATTTTGGTTTAGGTCAAAATATAGTATTTGTAAACCTGAAGAGTCAGTGCCAGTGCCTCAGCAGCCATGAACCTCACTGCACATCACTGCAGAAGCTTATATATAGACATCTAAGTTTTTTGTGCCCCACCACTTTTGTACATATAAAAACGCCACTGATTATTTGTAATACTTTCTGCTGACACTAGGTGGGGCTGTGCCCCACCTGCCCCTAATGACCAGTCGCCACTGGGTGTTGTTGGTGTCTCAGTTTACTTTAATTTATATGTATAGTGCAATATTATTTTTGAACACTTGGTGGCGGGGTTTAGCTACACCAGGTGTATAAAAGGGGTCCTAGGTGACAGGAGAGGACGAGGACACAGGAGGAAGAGCATACCGATTCTACCAGCCCGGCCAGCCCCGGCAGATGCTCCTACCACAACTATTGACACAGTATACTTAAACCTTGGTATGTAAAGCAATAAAACATCATTCTAAACTGCAGCAAAAGACCGGAAATTCATCTGTTTGTGTCTGCGTCAGGATCACTCTAAACCATCCTGTGAAGTAATGGCAAAAGGATATAGGACATTGGAACATTAAAATTGCCATTACAACTTCATTAACTCAGTATCACTTGCAGCAAACATTTTCTTTATACGTTTTTGGTCTCAATCGAGAGAGAAACAATGCTGTTCGGGGAGGTTTGGGGTCTGATCGAATTCAAATTTGGTCTGGACCGTCTCAAGGCTTTGAGGATGACAAGTTATCAAAATCTTGAGTTTTCGTGAAGTGACCTTGCTGTGGCATGGCGGTTATTTTGGCGCTATTTCCCCAGGAAAAAGGAAGTTGTTGAAACTCCAGTTAACACCGTCTGAACTACTCGAAATGTTAAGAACATGACATTTTAAGAACACGAAATTTGAAGAACACGAAAAGTGTTCGGTCCTGACGCCATTCAAAAAGACACATTAACCCAAAGTCGTACTGGCAACTGGAAGTTGCTGTAAATTGATGGCACCATACTTTGCCAAACTTCTTCTTTAAGGCATTTTAATGGAGCCACAAGCCCTCCCTCTGCAACATCCCATATGTGTGTGATTGAGCACACCTTGATTTGTGCAGTGCTTAATAAAAAATGAAAGTTCATAAATGTTATATTAGTGTTTATTTGTATGATATTTCGCCAATAAACCTAATTAGAGTAAACTCACACATGGAGACTATCTGATCTCCAACAGAAAGATCTGACCTGAACCAGAACCTGTCTGTGTGGCATCAGTTTTAAATAGTACCGTGTCATATAAAAAGATACATAGATATTTGAACACATTAATAATAATAATAATAATAATAATAATACATGGGACTTGTATAGCGCTTTTCAAGAAACTCAAAGACGCTTTGACAGAGAATTAAAAAACAAACACAAAAACAAAGAAATACAAAAAGAGATAAAGGAAGAGAGGAAATAAGGGAAATATAGATTGAGTTGCAACAGCAGTAGAGGGGTTGTAGATTGGCCCTTTGAGGCCTCCTGAGCAGCAGCCTCATGATCTCCTGGTGCTGTTATGGCGCGTTTCCACTACAGCGCGGAGCACGGTTTAAGAGGGCTGTGACGTCAGCGGCCCGTTTTTGGTTGCGTTTCCACTTGGCCTAGTACCGGCCGGCGGGTCCTAATTCACAGTTTTTCTGGCCTCATAAAATCGTGGGTCTAGGGCCAGAGACAACGAGGCTGAGTCGGGCTGAGTATGCTAAACTAGAGAGAGAATCGCTGGCAAGGGGGCTACAACTACAACAAGATGGACATATTTGACCGTGATTTAATTGTAATACACGTTTCAAAATGATGCCAAAGTAACAACATACTGATACCGGTTAGTAAAAACCATGAATTAATGCTTTGACAAGTCTGCAGACAGACGGCAGGCGAAAAACCTTTTAAAATGCGTGTTTTCTAAATGGAGATTGGCTAAGCTAACGCAGTATATGCTCCGACCGTCCACACTCACAACAACGGCCTATACAGACATAAATAAAGCAGCGACTGTATTCGCCATGACACAGGCAGTCTGTGGTTTTTACTTGTTTAACTTTTGTCTAGTTTCTGAACATATATGAGGAGCTGTGAGCTCTGAGTGCTAACAGCTAACGGCTGTGTTGTTTTTCTGGGGTTCTCATTGAAGATGACGTCACGGCTCCGCCTACACTGCGTTACTATAGTTGCTACCCCTGGTACTAAACTGTAATGGCAATGCGCCATAAAGTGAGCCAGTCCTAACGAGGCCTAGCCATACCGAGCGAGGCCGAGCGAGGCCGTGTAGTGGAAATGCGCCTTTATTGTCATGAAAATGAGAAATATAGGAAAGACATTCAAATAAAGGCGAGAATAATGTGAGGTTTTTTCATAACCTGAAAAATTCAGATTGTGGGACAAAACCAGAACACCTGGAGAAAACCCATTCATGAAGACTATATTGACTTGGGGGGAAAAGGGGGAACAATGAAAACACATTAAATTAAAGGTATAGTAAAAAGATAGGAATTTAGAGGAGTGGGTTGGGGAGAAGGGAGTTTGTAGAACGGCCATTTAATTCCTCCCAGCTAGCGTGAGTTGCTCCTGCTTCCTCTTGATCATTTTTGTTTGCTCAGTGGCAAATCTGAGCAATGGTTCGCCTGTCACTGTCATTTGGGCCTGCAACACAACCTGAGGGGAACGGATTCTTACTGCAGGAGTGTTTTTTGTTGAGATTGTTGGGAGGAGGGTACTATTCTTTTCACTGATCTTCTTGTAAATTGTTGGGAGGAGGGTACGCTGCAGATTCTTTTCACTGTTCTTCTTGTAAATTGTTGGGAGGAGGGTACGCTGCAGGTTCTTTTCACTGTTCTTCTTGTAAATTGTTGGGAGGAGGGTACGCTGCAGATTCTCTTCACTGTTCTTCTTGTAAATTGTTGGGAGGAGGGTACGCTGCAGATTCCCTTTAATGTTCTCTTTGGTGTCCCGGATTTTAGGAGTGTCCAATCTGGGCAACCGTTCTCCTGTTTCTTTCACATGGTTCTTTGATGACTCTACCCCAGTTGGGGGAGAGCGTCGTCCTGCAGGTGCTCCCGGTGTTTTAATGGTTGGGAAGCGGGTTTGCCGCTGATCAGCAGTACTGCTCTCATTGAGCTGAAACTTGTCATTATCCAGGTACTGCTTGATCTTCTCCTCCGGGGAAGGGGTGCGCTGCCATCCAGAATTTACCTTCGTGGGCAACAGTTCACCTGCATCTTTTGAATCATGGCAGGCATCACCAGCTCTGGAAAGTGGTGGAAGAAAGTGCGGCCTCACATCCACCATGGCTTGCTTCAGGCTGTCGCGTTCCCGATACCGTTTCATTAAACGGGTCGGGTCAGGAGCACGTTTGAGCAACGGCTCACCAGTATCTCGACAGACGTAATCTGGCACCTCCCTATTTAAAAGGACACTGATGCCGTTCTGCTGCTGGAAGATGCTCGCCCACCTGCTGCATGTATTGCTGGATGGCTTTCTCTCCCTCAGCAATCTGTTTCTCCATTTCTCTGGCAGCATGTATTTCCTCTCTTATCTCCTGTTGAAGGAGGGCTTGCTTTTCAGCAGCAGCGGATATTAAAGCCACTTTATGCTTAATGTTGTTTTGTCTTTTAAAATAAACTTCTAGTTTATTTTGCTCCTCAGACAACCTGTCACACTGTTTCATTTGATTTAACAAGTCCAGGCTGCCCTCTTTCTCCTCTCTCTCCTTCTGTTCATTTTCATGATGTTTTTCCACTCTCTGAGTGGCAATGCTCTTCAGAGCCGCAGCCCTCTTCTCGTTCACGTCCTTCTGCCGTTTTATCACTTTAGCTTCTGCCTCGGCCACATCCTTGGACAACTTCACCTTCTCTCTCTGGATTTTCTCAGCAGCCTGCTGTTTTTTAGCATCTGCCAGTTTTTCTATAACTATATCCTTAGGAATCTGCCTCTTATTGAATTGTTCTGACTTCTTCTGTTTTCTCTGCTGCAGCACTTCCTCTCTGTCAGTCTGAACACGTTTAGTTTCCTTCTCCTTCATGTTCAGTTTTTCAATTTCCTTTTGTCTTAGGCAGTTTTTTCTATAGATTTCCTCTTTGTGAAGTTTTGCTTTTTTGTCCTTTGCCTCCAGTTCTTTTCGTTCCTCATGTCTAAGCTCCTGTTGATGCTGTTCATCGAGGGCCCTGAGTTGGTCTCTTTCTACCTTCTCCTGCTGTCTCTCCTTTTCTCTCGACAGCTTCTTCTCGTTGGTCTTCTTAACAAGCTCGTCTTTCAGAGCCAGCTTATCACGGCGTCTCTTACGACTTTCGTCCTCTTCTTTTCTCTGAGCATCAATACATTTCTGACGCATCTCTTCTTCCTTCTCCCTTCTCTGTTGGTCAGCCTTCCTCTCTGTCTCTCTCTTAGATGCAGCCATGGCTGCATTGTCCTTTCTTATTTTTTCTTTTAAGAGGTCGCTATTGAACTTTCTGACGCTGGCATTCTGGAAGAACCTCTTATCATTGGCTGCATCAACCGCTCGCTGCCGTAGATTTTTCTTGAAATCCACCTCATCTGCAGGCGTCTCAGACCTATAGTCCTTCTCTGCCTGTTTCCGCATCATTATTCCTTCCCACCCCTTCAATATGCAGGCTTTGTAGATTGGATGGGCCATTTCAGTTTGTTCTGTGTTGTCGTGTTGTGAAAAATACTGTGTGTACCGCAACCTGTGTTGTGTCTCAAAGAACTGCTGAACTCAAGACTCGTCCTATAAGAATTTGGCAACTTCAAAGCCATTAATGACATCATCGCAGATGAGAGGCAGATAGTGACCTCATCACATTCCGTGTGACATCACTTGACTTTGTTCTACTATTAAGTCATTCAAATAATTGCATTCCAAGTTGCCTACTTACAGTTGCTAGGCAACCAATGCTATTTCATTGACACCTGAGTCTAAACTAATGTATTCCAATTCAAAGTTCAGGTATATTAATTAGAAGTAAGAAATAGCATAAATATTAGTAAGTAAGTTCCCTAATAATGTTAAGTATTTCAGTATTATGATCTGTAATCATAATACTATGAATTCTCGTTACCCTTTTTTTTTTTGGGGGGGCGGGGGGGGGGGGGGTTGGTTTATGTATTTGGGATTCACCTTGAACTTTCCTCATGTAAGAGTTTGCAGGTTTTTCCTGTGTCAATGCGGGTTTCCGACCACAACTTGCACTAGTTGAGAATAAATGGCAGAATAAAACTGCAATTGTTTTAGTAACAGGTCAAATGTAAGATAACCACAAGAGGGCTCCATATTCTTTATAAAACATTTTCTAATTACTGTACAGTATGACACAGACAAAGGTGAATACTCTCTGAATAATCAACACAACAGAGCAGTGTTTAGGAGACAATCATTTAAATACACCATCTAAATTGTTGATGCAGGGAGTAAAGAATGTGGCTAAACTTGGCCAGTAGCATCTAAGAAAATATAATGTTAGCCATATTAACTATATGTGTAGGATCCACAGTATGTTATTATAATTTGAGATGCTATGAAGTAAGGATCTAACAACCTAAAATGAAGTACAGGACATTGATTAGACAAGAAGGACTTCAAAGATGGAGAGAGATCTTCAGCAGCCTTCCTGTACTGCCCTCTGGTGGCATTATTAACAATTCTTCAAAAATATTTATGCAAGAAAGTATTCAAAGAACCGCTCTCAAAATGCACAGGGAAGTATGAGACCTATAATACTGTATAGGTTTGTGTACATTTGACAAATCTGCTATACTTAAACTGCAAAACCTAGCACATGGTCAAGATTACAAATCTAAGAGTTGTTTTTATTTTCTTTGCAACAGCAGTAGTAACACTGCTAGTGCAAGATAGCCCCTTGGAGAATAAGCTACATGGGGACATATTGAGATGTTTATCAAATTCTCATCATGTAAATTGTAAATGGTGACTCAACTAACAGTAAAATATTCATAAACTTGATTTAGTATACTCTCTTTTCATACCTTAACCCCTTTCCCTTCAGAGTTTCTTTGTGTTATAGCTGTTGAAGAAAAAAAGCTGGCATGAAGAACTTAATTTCCTCTGTGTTCCTGTGTGTGTCCTCTATGTGGTTGCATTTGTGTGTAACTTGCATATCTGTGTGTGTTCATTGTATTCATGTAGCTGTTCATGTGCATTGTACACTGTTTGTCCCTTTTCTGTATATGGTGCCTCATATGTCTGTCTGTATATTATTTGACACTAATTATTATTTGGCCTGCATGTCGGTGTTGAGCGTGGGCATTCGTGTTTGTGAGTCTGGCAGGCAGCATTGTTCCCAGCAGTGGTGAAGGACACATCTCCATGGCCTGTGTACCATTCCTCTGCATGCTGCTATAAATAGCTTACAATGTTTTTGCAGTGTGTGTATACGTGTGTTTAGGTCTGTGTTTATTACTTTCACTTTCAGAGATGTTTGCCAAGGGAAGGTGAAAGAGAGACGATTGTTATAGAAGAAATGAGGAAGATACACACACACATTTTACTTTAAAAAAAGACCACCACCACCACCACCACAACACCATCTTGATACTTTTATCTAAAAATGTTGCAGTGCTATCAAAGCTGCACCCATATATCGAGTAGTCGATTTAAAGAAAATTAATCCAAAATAATTTTTGACAAGTGATTAATGTTTAAGTAATTTTGATGGCAAAGAAGCCAGACGTGATGGTTTCAGGTTGTCAAATGACTTCTTTGACATTTACCTATGTTATGATTTAAAATGTTCAGTTTTGTGCACTGTTGATCGGACAAAACAATCCATTTAATGTCTCATGTGTTGGAATAGGCTTTTTTCCTGTTTTATATAGGAAACTATTACTTGACAATGATTGAGAAGAACATTGGCTTATTGCTGCCCTATAGTATTCATGCAGAGACTAGAATTATTATCCATAAATCACCATGCACTGGAGTAGGCCTGAAATGTATAGGATAATACTCAGTATAGTAAGAGAGCTTTAATTAAGTAGCTACAGCAGGCTTTCTTGAGTAAATAGAGCCTACATGAAAACATTCCACGACTGAGTAAATGTTTTTCCGGTTACTTTCTGTGTTGTATTCGTATATTGTAATCACCGTCATCTTTTCCTCATTGACTTTATCCACAGTTGTGAAACAGCGCCCCCATTAATAGCAACTTGTGGAAATGGGAACCAGCGTGTGTGGTTAAACACGGTATTGCAGCCTTGCAGTTGAGGCATTCATCCCAAGCCTACCGAAGATGAGCCAGGTGAAGTCAATGTCCTTTGATTAGTATTCGACAATAAGTTATCTTAGTATAACAAAAACTGGGAAATGTAAAACTTCGGCACCATGAAGGAAAGGATAACAACCTTCTTCGTCTTCAGATAGCATGAGTAACATTTAAAAATATATATATTTTTGCCTTTCTGATGTTTAAATTGACTTTTTGACTTCAAATAAATACAGCTTTGTATTACAGTGGACAATATGGACACACCTCTTCTTATGAGTCTAGCCATGTAAAGCAATGGTAACTAAACTGGAAAAGTAAGCAAACTCTTTTTTTTGTGGATGTTAGTCAACCTTCCTTGCAACTGTCACCCAGAATATCCCTGTATTATAAGCAGTGGCGTTTTTATATGTACAAAAGTGGTGGGGCACAAAAAACTTAGATGTCTATATATAAGCTTCTGCAGTGATGTGCAGTGAGGTTCATGGCTGCTGAGGCACTGGCACTGACTCTTCAGGTTTACAAATATTATATTTTGACCTAAACCAAAATATAATATTATTTTCAAAAGCTTTTTTTGTCTGATGCTTCGATTAATTTTAAACAGACAGTTCAACAAAAGGATACCCAAAAAATGTAATTTTATCATTTAAATATTGAATTGTTCTCTCTTAGTAAGATCCCATTTTCAATAAAATGGCGGTCTTACCTTGACTTGAAGATGAAGTCCATTTGCCTATCCTTCTGGACAAACATTTCTATTACTTTTTTGTAAAAGTCCTCCTTATCTTCTTGTAGTTTCAAAAGTCTATCATAAATCTAATCCATAGATTTATGATAAAAAAATTATAAAAGTAGGGTAGACATGTGGATATTATCCGGCTAATCAAAACGTGCATTTATCTAACAGGTACGTTTCCCACAGATCTTATTTCGAGCTATTTTCTAAAATCCTCTGGAGAAATCTCATTGCTTTTTTGTGCTTACTTCCTGGTTTTAGGACGCGCCACTGCAGCTCTCTCGTCTCCTCTTCACACACCACACTTTTCGCGGCACACGTACTTACAGCCAATCAGCTCTGAATGATTTGAGATGACGTATGGTGGGGATGGTAGCTCCGTGCCCCTCTGGTCATTATTTTTTTGCCACACACATTACATTACAAAATACTCTGAGCATGCGCAGTGTAGTTTTTACAGTCACCGTTCACTTAGACAGCGAGAGGAAGGGGCATAATCAGGTTTTGTCCCACATGGCTCTAAACAGCTCAATAGGCACACACTGTGACTGTAGACACACTAATTAGAAGAACACAGACTAAAACAGCAATGTACAGACGAATCAGATGATTAAACATGATCTTAAAATATATTTTATATATTTTTTTATTTATTTTTTTGCATTTTTGTAATCATTATTTGTAATACTTTCTGCTGACACTAGGTGGGGCTGTGCCCCACCTGCCCCTAATGACCAGTCGCCACTGGTGTTACGTTATTATGAGAATGCTCTCATACTTTAAATTGTATATATTTATATAAATATATTTGTGTGTGTGTCCGCATCTGTAACCTGTTATTGTCTCTGTTGAGGTATAACATACAGAGACATGTATATTGTATGACTCCATGTAATACTGTGTACCATATTGTTTATGTAAGTAGCTGCGACTACTACTGTGTTCATTGGATAGCGCTGTAGCACATGATTGTGATGTCACTACCTGGGGTATAAGACCGTTGGAGTCACGCCCCTTCTCTCTCTGTCCTTGAGTCTCTTGACCTGTGTGCATCTAATACATAACGCCATGATGAATGGATAAACTTGAACTGCTGAGAATAGTCACCTTTCTGCTGCAGAGAGACAAAAGGTATAAGTCTAAATCTGCTAACAGGTTATGGGCCCAGATACGATGAATTATTCTACAGTTCGAAGCGCACGTGCGATAACGAGGCGAGAAGATTGCCTGTTAGCACAGTTAGCATAGGAGTAGCTAGTTAGCCACGTGTTAAGCTAGTTTAGCATCGGGAGAACCGAGGGAAGCTAAAGCTAAGCTAACAAGGACCTAAGCTAAGCTACTGAAGCTACAAACGCAAAAGCCATGGCCACGAGGAAGAGAAAGTGGCCCACGTTCGACGGGAAAGCAGAAGAGTATGAGCTCTGGGAAGAGAGGATGCTGTGTTGCATGCACGGAGTGGGATTGAAGGAGACCATCCTTCGAGCACCCGCTGGAGAGCTGACCGCGGCACTGAGGGCTCAAGACGACAAGCTCAATGCTGACGCCTATTGTGAGTTAGCGCCGCTACTCGACAATACCAGTTTAGGCCTGATATTCAGAGACACGAAGGACAAGGGCCGAGAAAGT